GAGGGGGCGAGAAAGAGTTGAAAATGACGAAGCGGCGTAAAAGAAAAACAGAAATGAATGCAACTAAAACTCATATCTTTTGGCCAAAACAACAAAACCCACTAACCAACTTCACGGTTTGTTGGAAATTTAATTTGACTACAAATGGGTTTTTTGTATCTTTTTTTTTTTTTTTGAGATTTCTTTGTGCCACCTGCGTCGAATACTCATTGCCTTTGGGGCACGCCCTCTCAAAGTTGAGAATTTGTTGGAGCAAAGAAAACGAAAATTGTAAGCGGCACGTGTTGGCAACACAAATTAAAAAACATTAACACACTTAACGCTTTTTGGTCAGGCCCCCACCCCCACCTCCTCTATTAAGACGAAATTATTTAAATTTTGCTTGAGCAAAGACAATGGTCGGATATAATGTTTACCACAATAATAAAATCAATGAAAGCTGCAACCCCTGCAAAATAAAACTACCCGGCTAAATGCAGACTTAACCTCAAATGTCTGAGATTGCATGACTCAAATCGTTTGAGGTAGGAAATGGCCAAAAAGGAGAGACAGCAAGAAAAAAAAACACATGTCTGAGGTCATAAGCATAACATCCTACATATGTTGCTATGGTGTTTTCAGTTATTTGGGGGTTGATTACTAAAAAAAATCATTATATGCATAAAATCCTAAATATATCCAAGTATGTGTAGATTTACATATATGTACATATATTTTCCCTTATGACATAAGCTCTACTATGTGCGGGTGGGTGACAACACTCCAGAACACATTTGCGGTTAATTGTTTATCTACTTTAGTGGTTTATGTATACACTGGTTCCGCCCAGCTGCACAGCTGCAATGAATCGAGTCTAACTGCAACAATTTGTTATTTATCGATTGCCAATTTGTTACTTCTGTTATCATGAAAGTGGTGCGCAGCATCTCTTTCGCACACACGCACATCTCATCGCTTTAACAGTGGTTCTTCACTCTCATTTTTCTCCACCGAATCAATCAACAATAGAGTTTTAGCATATATACATATATATTTAGTATATTATTAGTAGATTACAATTACATGTGCTTCATCTTTTATTATCGTTTGTTATTTGTATGGGAGGGGACAGACAAAAGGCTGAAGATGTGCCACCACCTTTCACTTTATTTATACATAAAAAGTATTTTGGTTGAATGAGTTAATATCTATTGTGATGGGATGCTGTAGTGGCCGAGCATTTGAACAATCAATAAATAGCAAACAGAGTAGACAGAAAGTAAAAAACCTTTGTGTACGCACCTGTCGTCGATTCTGCTTGTGATTATTCCAGGCTGCACTTGCCTGCACTTTGGGCACAGAAAAGCACCGTAATGAGCAAGGAAAGCGGACATACGAGACCAGGTTGTTGTTGGTGTTGTTGTTATTGCTTTTCCTCACACATATAGCCACAGACTAACACATACACTTGCACACACATACATATATCAAATTTCTTTCTTTCACCCGTTTTTAACTGGTTTTTAAAAAAATATTTTTTACTACAATACCCCGTCGATCTTCTGTCCACACCACACATGCACAAAAACAACTTTTAATTAAATTAGCACGATTTATGTGTTGAAGACAAATTAACTATTTCGGCTACTACTGGCGCATTAACTATTAATTCTACTGCTCTTAGCAGCTCATTTTTCACAACTGTATGACCAGCTCGCACACACACATGCAAAGAGTGTCGCCGTCGACCAGTCTGTTGTAGTTGTTCTAGAGATGTAAGTGATATAAGAAAACATCGATGCAACGATATAAGTCATCGATTTAAAATATTTGACTTCTTTCAAACCATATCGATATTAGTTGGTAGATGTTTAATATATTCATGCATATATTGCGTTTATAGAAAGAATAACGATTACTATGGTATATACACATTTATTTATGCTCGAGTTATTTACATTGTTTATATATATTCGATATGCGCACAAAAGACTATCGGGCAAATAGTTGCGATCGCCTATAAAATCGATATTGTGTTTGAAATATGACCGCGAACGTAAAATAAGATACTGCGCATATTCTTTGAATTTAAATAGTATCAAACTTTTATTTAATATAATTTTATTTAAAAATATACATATTTTTAGTTGTAGTGTTTATAAACGCTGGGCATTTCTGGCGTTGTAAGGAGCAGCAAAGCGGCTACACATATGAATTAACAATATAGAACAGAGCAAAGATATATAAAAGAAAATAATAACATAAAAATTGCATAAAAAATAATAAGACAAATCAGTGTTATCAGTATTTTGATGTCTCTGTGTGTATGTGTGTGCTCAAATATGAAGATAAACGGGGAAAAATTATGCAAAAAGCTAAGCACACAAAACTTAAGGTCACTGGAATTATGATTCGTGTAATTTATGGCGCTCTGGATACCGCAGCTGCATCATTATCATGGTTCAAACGACCACCCATGGTAAGGCCACGGTCGTCGGCCAGTTCATCATCGTCCTGGTCGGGATTTTGCAGTTGCTTCTGACGTTTCAATCGCAGTTCAAATACCTCACTAATGGCATCGCGAAAGCATATAAAATTATAGTCAATGACACCCTGTCGATTGAAATTCTCCTCGCGCAAAATGCAGACCAAAGCTAAGAACTTGTTCACTTCACGCATATAAAGTATCGTATTGTTATTTAGTTTGATGAGACTAGAACTGCCGCTGTCAAACGCCGTTTCCTCAGAGCTGTGGGGAGAGGTGATGAACTGTATTAAATATTGTGCTCGTTTATGAATATATTATCGAGTTTACCTGTAGATACTTGACAGATCAATGACCATATCAATCATGTCACAGCACAGCTCATAGATTTGCATATCCACAGGTGATGAATCAGTAGCAATATAAATTTTCGATACGACATCAAAGAGAAACGCTTTCTCTATCCCAGAGTTCTTTAGGGCAATAACAATAATAATATAATTATTTACATTGATAAGAATTTATCAACTCTACTTACTGGTATGAATATATTTAACAGATTTTCTAGCGTGGGCAGTTGTGGTATTAGCTTTTGCACCACCTTCGAGAACGCTTCGAATATTGAATGATCGTAGATCGAGGTTAAGTGAAAACTTAGATGTATCTGATCTAGACCCGCTTCGCTGAGGTCATCCGACGAACGTTGGTGTATATCACGTTGTGATTCCATTTTCGAATCATCGCTAATGCCATCAACCTATGAGAAAATAAACACCTGCATTAACAAAACATATTGATAAGCGATTGTCTGTCTTACCTTGTGTATGAAAACTTCGAATTTGATATGAGGATTTACTTTGTACGCTTCGATGACCGTATCCTTGAATTTCCTCAAAGCTTCGATGTAATCATCCTTGGCATCAATCACAAATACGAGGGCACCACAGCCCCGAAAGATCATATCTGAATCGAATGGCGGCTTTATGAAATCAATTTGTCCCGGAAAGTCCCAGATTTGAAATTGTACAAAGCTGGAATTGTTGATATCGTCTTTGACAATTTTACTCGTCGATTCAAGGAAGACGGTCTCATTCGGTGACATCTTGTGGAAGACGACTTTCTGTATGGAACTTTTTCCCGATCTCCGCAGACCCATCAATAGAATGCGAGGTTTTGTCTCGCTGTTGTTAGACGCATTCGCTTCGAGATCGAGGCCATCCTGATCATAAGCACCATAGCCGAAATCTTTTGGGAACGGATCCTCGGGATAGTCTTCATGTTCGTAGCTCTGTAAAAAATTTGAAGATCAGATCAAAGTAGATATTTTTAAAAAGCGACTTGTGTTGTTGAACTTGATATTAAATACGCATATCAGTTGCTCAGCCATTCTTAATCTCGTAAGCGTTTAGGGAACAACGTTTTTAATCCAATTTACAGCTATCAGTTGTGGAGCGATTCGACTTTGATTTGCTAGGGCTTCTTTGTTTATTTACCATGGTGACGTAAGCGTGCGTTGCTTGTACACAGCTATTGTATTTAACATGCAGTTGGGTTAACGTGCGCTATATTACTATAACAAAATTGTGTAAATAATGGATTAAATTTAATAAGTTTTAAATTGCGGAGCACACAACACAAAAACTGTTTCTTATCGGAGACAAGGTGTGTACACAACAGCTGCCACAAACAGCTGATCAACATTTACATCAAGTGTGTGCACACCTGCTGCGCAATAATTTTAAATACTAAACGAATGAATGGCTGTTTTGAATTTTTGTAATGGTATTTTTGGGTGCTACAATCTGGTCACACTTAATTCATAAATTACTTGGTTTTGAGAAACGTGAATTAACGTTGTTTTTATTATTAAATATTTAAGTGAGATGGCATCTCGTGGATTACTACTATTGGGTCAATGCATGCCCTGCATCAAGCAAAATGCTTCCAAAATACGTGTTCGTCGTATGGAGCTGGACACAAACCTAAATATGGTGTGTAAAGTTCTCTTCGGCGGCATGTGGGTATTTTATTAAAATTCTTTAATTGCAGTACTTTAAAAAGGATACATTCTTCTTTGCACACGATCCTGAAAAGGTGTGTAAAACGGGCGATGTTGTATTAATAAGAGAGCTGCCCGAACGTTTGACACGACTTATAACGCACAAGGTGGAAAAAGTAGTTTACCCGCTGGGTGACATAACCGATCCAATTAGCGGTAAAAAAGTTGTTGTTGGCAAATACCGCGAGGACATCGAAATGGCCAATCAGCTGTTCGGCAAATCAGAAAAGGCATTCGATTACGATAAGGCGCCGCCACGTGGTCGTCTGGAAGGTACCAAGGACTTTACACACGGCGAAACCTACATCAAATATCACGAGGATGGGAAAGATCAGCCCTTCGCCGTGTAGCCCTAAAGTACCTCCAATCTTGCTCTAAGTAGGCCTCTAAGTAGTTAAACAATATAGTCGACGTTACATTTTACTAAATATTTTTATTTAAAATGTCGATAAATGTTTTTAATGCATTTTTGTATGGTTTTGTTTTTGAAGTTTTTTTTTTTTTAGTTGTCAAATTTTTTATTGCGGCCCACATTCAACTGCGATCAGTCGCCGCTGAGCCAGGAATGAAGTCCATTATCTTTGTTTTCGTTTTTGATCCGATCCGTGCCATAAATTAAATTGTTAACTAATCACAATTTCTTACGATGCTAAAGTTGTACTGCAGTATAGGGTTTGCCACATGGGCGTTGTCATCGCATAGTTTTTGCTGCAATTCAAATGTAATTAGGAGTGAGTTGAGATACCCTGTACTATTTTTGTGGCTTACTTGTTCCAGGTCTGGACTGGCGCGCAGCATAAACTCGCGCAGAAAGTCGCCACGATTGGGCATATCAAGCGCTAGAATGAGTTTATTATTGCCCAGCTGCTTGAGCACCTTCACCCAGTTGCTGCTGCTGCCGCTTGGTAGCGCATCCTCATCCTCGTTTAGCTGTGCGCCTGTGTTTGACTTCGACTGCTCCTCATCGCTGCAGATAGACCACTGCAGCGGCCTGCTGGAACTATTTGGGATAAGAAATATCAAAATATATCAGCTGCTAAAGGATAGTCATCCCTAATCCAACCTGAAATGCAACTCCAGGCTGGCAGCCTGCAAAAACTTGGACACAGGCACCGTGTAGGTGATGTTCAAAGAGCTGCCGGAGCTGGGACAAAATTGTGCTATATCAATAGTGTGATTGTTTAGACCCGCGATCACGCAGCTGCTGATGCTCCAGCAATCCAAGGGATGTGGCACAGCAGTTGCTGTGGCCAGAGGTGCTGCCGCGTCCACGTGCTCATCAGCTGCAGCGGGCTCAGCATTTAGCACAGTGTATATAGCATCCTCGCCAGCAGCAACTCCCGCTTCGCTGGCCAATTGCTTGGATCGTGCAGCTGTGTTGTGCGAGGTTTTGCCATGGAAGGCGTTCGTCTCATTGCCCACCACTGGCTGTATGATCAATATATCTGGCTCCTCCTGTTCCTGGTCCTGCTCGGCGGACTGCAGATCTTCGTCCACATTCTGCTGCTTGACGTTCGCATCCACATTGTCCGCAGCAGCTGGCTGCTGTGACTCAAAGCAGCTGGACTGAACGCAAAGATTAGGAAGAAAAGAAGCATAAGATAATTAGATTAGAGTATAAGATGAAGTATAAGAGGGAGTGGAGCTACTGTAACCCACCTGACATGTGGCGGCATTTGCCTCCTCACCATTGCATTCCTTGGGCTGGCCAAATAGCGGCGTCTTCAGACTCTTGTGCCTAATCCACTCCAGGCTACGCTGATTGGCCGAGCGACGACCCACAGCGGAATCACGCAAACCAGCATCCGTGTACTCGAAGCCAAAGAGCGCTGTTATGGGATTATCGACAGCTTCCGATTCATTTGTGTTGCTCAGATTCTGCAGGTCGAGTGCATCGGCATTCTCTTTGTTCCCGCTGCTGTTGCGCACAGCTGCGGGCGGCGGCACATCCAAGGCAAGGGAGAGTGTGCTCTGGACATGAGTCTGCTCCGTGCTCACCTTGTTGGTGGTCAGGGCCAGGTTGGCCGTGGGTGGCGAAACTGTTTTGTATACATTATAAATGGCCGCATCGCCTGCATTTAGCTTACGGATAGCCTGCCCAGCATCGGATGAGGAAAGATTATCGACAGCTGTGCTGGGGACAGTGTTCACAACGACAATGCGCTCGTCCAGCTTGGAAGAAGGCTTCACTGGCTGTTGCTGCTGCTGCTGTTGTTGTTGCTGCTGCTGCAGTAATCTTTGCTGTTGTTGCTGCTGCTGTGCATCCACATCAATGGAATTATTCTCAAAATCCTGAGAGAGTGTTATGCCCTGCGGCTTCTCGGAAGAGCCTTCCGTTTCATTAGTGCTGCTGGCTAGAGCACGACTAACGGCTGCAACGCGCACGCTTTGCAGCAGCTTCTGGGCAGCAGCTGGACGCAGTGCATCCTGTGAGACGGGCCATTTCGATTTGTTTTTGCTGACGATCGTTTTGTTGCGTGGTGCAGTAGTTGTGATGCGTGGCTGCTGTGCATGTAGTTTGGGCAACGGTAAGTTCACCTGCGGATTGTTCATAACGGCCGTCAACTCCTCCTCCTCCTCGACATCGCCTTCGCTCAATCGTGTAGCTTGGCTGCCTCTGCCAGTGGGACGCGTTGTACTCGCCGCATACAGAAAACTGGGCCACGCGCCATGCGTTTTGTTCCTGAACAGCGTTTGCAAACTCTGCTGGAAATTGTATCGATCCTCATCTGTGAAACGAGTCGCTCCGTCGGGTCGATAGAGGTGACCGTCGCCGAACACGGGAAATCCTTCCAAGTGCTGCTGTTGCTGCTTATTGTGCTCCACAAAATACAGTGTGGAAACAGCAGCCAAACTGGATTGGAAATTCATAAATATTACACTTTATATGTATAAATTTTATATGTCATGCTTGGCTCACCAGGCTGCCATCACAATAATCAGCAGAAAGATGATGATCTGCATCAAGCGGCTGGAGCAGATTTCATAGCCCTCATTACTGCGATTATTTGATTTGAGAACGCGTGGTGGTAGAATGCAACGTGGCTCTAACAAATCCTTGGCACGCAATTGATGGTTATTGTGAGTGTTGTTGGCTCGCTCCAGGTTCTCGATGCGCGTCTCCAGCGATCCGGTCACCTTGCATAGCTCCTTAACGGCCCCAATGTTCTCCATTAGTATACGATCCTAGAGCAATTAAAGTACAAGTTTTTCAGTATCTGTATTGTTTGGCTTGTGTTTGAGTTTTGTTTAGGACAAATATAAATAATATTTAGCATTCCTTTTGTATTGTAAACAAAACTGAGTTCTTTTTTTTTTATCAAATAGTGGTTTCCAAAGTGTTTCAACATTCAAATCAGAATAAGTGTGGCCATGATGTACCACTGATTTTGGTGTGTACATACATATTTAATTTGATTTAACTTGGCAAAAATGTGACCCTAAATATGCACGGCTTAAAGGACACATTTTAAATAGTTGGGAAAAATAAGAAAATTTGCGTATGCCTAAACCAAATTATAAATTTAATATAAAATACTATATGCATACCATATCCCTAATTCTAAAGTCATTAGAAACATTGTGACTTTATTATAATTTAATTATTGTCAACTAGTCCTTTTTAGTTAATATTTACAGTGTGACCATATGCGCCAACTGACTGCTCAAATTTGAAGTTAGTTTGAATTTCTTACCTTATTGACCAGCAAAAAGTTCTCAATAACATTTCCATTGGGGAGTACAACGCTGCCGGCTTCTTGGACTGCATCCGGTATTACCTCACGCACCTCCTGCGCTATGACGCCCGTGTCGACAATTTCCCTAGTATCACTTTCACGCCTCAAGCCCGAGTGCACCGCAAATTCCGGTTCATAGCGATAGCGGACAATACGAATCTTTTGCATGTTGCGCAACTGCACCGACGTATCCAATTCGGCGATTTCCTGTTTGGCGCGACTATCGCTGGGCTGGACAATATGGCCGGATACCTTGAGATTGCCATGCACCACCAGACTCTCGTCCGGCCGATCCGTATTGATGCCCACGCGACCCGCATGAAAGATGGACTCCTGTGTAATGCCACGCTGCCAGCACAGGTCCACATCTGACTCGAATTGGCCTGGATTCGAGGCACGCACAATAATACGCTCGCTGCCATGGCTAACAACAGGAAAGTGTCCGGACGTGGTGTGCACATGCAGGCCGACGACCAGCTGAAAGAAACGCTGCTCCGGATTGGGACGTCCCTTCTTGCGCATGTTATTGTTGGTCGTCTCCGAGAAGTGAAGACGACCCACGGTTATCTTGCTGACAATATGGCTCTGGAGATCGATACTGATAAAGGCAAATGTGATATATTTATATATAAATATATATATATGTATGTACTATATGGTAAAATATCCTTTTTGATCAGCACACTTACGGTACAGGATAGAATGGCTTCTTGGAGCGATCCGATTGGCTCTGCTCCACGCGTATCGTTTGGTTGGGCGCCTCGAATTTGACACCGTAGAAATGCAAGTGAAAGGATTTGATTTTCTCTAAGCCGGACGGTGTCTTCACAAATTTGGCATCTCCTTGAAGGCGCGCATGGCACGTGACCTGAAAGTGATTCTTCTTCTGGCATACATACGCGTCATCCGAGACGCTGAAGTTGAAGCCCTTATCTGCATCCACGCGATAATAAATGACGGACAGCTCCTGCAGGCTCTGATCGCACAGCTTGTGCCAGTTCTCTGGCTGAAAGGGGCTAAAGCGGATGCATTGCGTCAACGTTGGGTCACCAGCCTCGCTGCCTGATCCACTGCCCCCAGCTGCATTGCTGGCCTGCCCATCCAGGCTGTTCTCTGCCTGGGAATTGATGCCGGACAGGGCTGGGGAAACGGAGGCGGAGCAATGTGAGTGCGCGGGTGTCTTGCTCGGATCGTGTTCGCTGTGATGGCTGCTGCTGCTGCTGCTACTGCTGCTCGGTGCAGCAGCTGTAATGGAATGATGAGAGTTGCGTAACGGACTGATCAAAAGACCCGTCTCATGCTTGGGCACACTGGGCGCAAAGTCCGGGCAATCCAATTGAGTGGACATCTTGCGCTTTCGGGACAGCGAATGCACAGGCGTCGAGGGTGTGGAGCTGCGATTCAGTGACAATTGGCTGGTGCCAATTACCTGAACACGATCGCCCAGGCCCAGCGGCGAGGTCAACATGCAGGTGGACATGGACGACAGATTTTGATAGCTGCTAGCTCCATATAGACCGTGTCCATTATCGTAATGCTGATAGAGCAGCTGCTCAGGCGGCAAATCGTGCTGTTGCTGCTGTTGCATTGACAGCAACTGTTGCTCGCTCAGCTGCTGCTGCTGTTGTTGTTGTTGTTGTTGCTGCTGTTGCTGCTGTTGCTGGCAGAGCAGGCTGTTGGCATTCATGATCAGGCCAGTCTCATGCTTAACTCGTACATCCTGTGCAGGCGCCACAAAATGATGTCCTTGCTGTGGCGCTGCGAACTGAAGATCTGTGTGCAACAGTTGCTGCTGCTGCTGTTGCTGTTGATGTTGCTGCTGTGGCTGTTGTTGTTGTTGCTGTTGCTGCTGCATATTTGTTAGGCCTGAATAGATGAGCTCTCGTCCGTTGAGCGCATGCACATCTCCCAGCGGACTGTAGGCGGGCTCCGAGCCCGAATCGGGCGGACTCTCGGGCAGATGTGCCAGCGGCATGGCCATCGCGCTCACCCGCCCTGTCGCTCCCAGCTGCGCATCCAGCACGTTCATTGGCGGCGTATGCGGCGATTCCAATTTGGAGATGCCACCCATGCCGGCTGTCTGCTCCAAGCTGAGCGCCTCATTGTTGCCATGCTGTGCTGCATCATCGAGCGATCCGACGCCAGCGGCTTGCATAAACAAATCGAGTGCCTCATTGTCGATGCCATCCATGAAATCTGGCCGAGCTGCAAGGGAAACCAGAGCAGGAATGAGACAAATATAGTGTAGAAGAGTTGAGAGTATGTTAAGTATAAGTTCAAGTATACTTAGCTGGATAAGTATAAGATTATACGTAGTACAATATATTGCTAACAGTAAAAGTGGGAGTATATATAGAAGTATAAGCGGGGAGCATAGTATAAGTAGTACAGCTAGGCATAGGAGTACGTACATATATATATGTGTGAGTTTAAATGGGATATATTTAAAGCCATAGTATAAGTGAGAGTATACCTAGAAGAGAGCATAGGAGCATGTGAAGTTATGAGTCATGAGTTATGGATGAGTGTAAATATATTAGCATGCTTATGCTAATGAATACTAGTAGTAGTATAAATAGGTTGGTATGAGTGTAAGAAAGATATTGACTATTTGTTGTAGTACCTATGATTATTAACAAATTATTTGTGCTCACAAGTATAACTATGGATATAAGTGCGAGTATAGTTAGTATATCTACAAGTATAAGTACAAATATTTGTATGAATATGATTAAGAAATTGAGTAAATGGAGTATAAGTATGTATCTGAGTATGATTATAACTGAAATGAGAGAATAAGTTTGAGTATACATATAATAAATACAAGTAACTAAGGAGCCAGAATTAAGGCATGTGCGTGACTAGGAGTAAGTCTATAAGCATGAGTATATCAAGAAGTATGAGTAAAAGTATTAAAATAAATGAATATGATAATTATGCACATAATTATGTGTATAATATAATATACATACATGTAAAAAAAATGGATTATGAATAATAATAGCAATAGAGAAAATATAAGTAAGAGTAGGCGAGAATTAAATCTTATACTTATACTTAGTATAAGTAGAAATAAAAGCTAGCATATTATCATGTAAATAAGAGTAGAAAATATGATATAGAGTATTAATTAGAATTATAATTATGAATAAGAGTATTAATATGTAATCATAAGTATAATGTGATGATGATGAGTATAAGTGGAAGTAAAGGTATGCTTATTAAATAGTATAAGTATAGTATAAGCATATAAGTTGCATTGAGTTACTTATGCAGAAGCAGATTATGAGCAGTCTGTGTAGTATACTAGTTGTAAATATATGTAGGTGTCTATAAATAACTGTATAATTGTGAACTGAGAGTGTAGAAGAGTGTATTAGATTGACTGCAAACTGCTGAGAGGTCAATTAGCTAGACAATAGAAACAACTGAGAATTGAGTTCTTATCATAATACTTAATTGCCTTTAACTATAATATTTTCACATTTATTTTCTATTAATTGGCTTTCTATACAGATGATTAAAGTAATTGAAAATTTCCGTCTGATTTTAATAATTAAGTTAAAACAAAAACTTGTTAGCTAAGCTATCCCTAAAAATATCTCCAAGTAAATATTTTTAAAATATTTATTTTGTGCACACGCTTGCTGCAGCTCATTGAACACAGTTTATTGATAATTTTTTGTTTTTATTTTTATATTTTTATTTATGTTTTTTTTTAGGAGGCGTTGACAGCCAAATGCGTGCCACAAAATGAGCGATAAAAACGGAATTCTAATTGTAATCAAGCGAAACAAAATACACAAAAAAAAAAGAAGAAGACGAGAGCAGAGAAGAGAAGTGAATTGATAAGCGGAATGTGTTTGATCGATAAAGAAGTGAGGCAGCGCAAGAAAGAAATGCAAATGCCAGGTGAAATAAAATTATACAAATTACCATTTAATGTTTTAGGATAATCCATAGTCAAGTTGATTTAGATATAACAAAATATATGTATATATATATGTATATTTCGAGTTTGTTTTTGTATTGAATGAGACGCGTTGGCCAGGCCCAAACAAATTGCACTAATAGCCAAGTTAACAGCTGCTGTTGCTGCTGCTGCCACACAGCATCCACAATAATTATTATAGTATTATATACCAATCGACAAAGAGAGTGAACAAAAAAAATTTGAAATAAAACAACAATTATCTAATGCACAAGCGGTTGATGCACTTTTCACAACTCGCTGAGCAGTGAAAATGCGCTTTTCCAAATGTTTAATACCTTTTTTTTTTTTTTTTATATGTATAGCAAAAGAAAACAAAATTATAATCATATAAACAACTTGAACAGAAACAGAAGCTCGTCAAGTAATTGAAAGCGAAAACGAAACCCAATTAAAAATCATAAAAGAAAGAGACCGAGAGAGTGTATGAATGAGAGGGGGTCAAAAAAAAAAAAAAAAAAAAAGGAAAAACTAAACCATTTGGAAATTGAAATCAAATATTATTTTTGCAAGTGTTTTTTCATTGTAGATTTTTAAATGTTTTTACATATGCATTCACAATTCAAAACATTGCAGCAAAAGCTGTTTTTCAACTAGTATACTATTATTATTATTGTTATTGTTATAAATATTTAATTTGATTTTTGTTTTTAGCCGCGCCTCAACGTCAAATACGTTGAGTTATTTCTGTGCACTGAAATTTGATTTGGCCTGCAAAATGATTTGAATTCGCGTCCTGCTCGCAGCAATATTGATCAAACAAAGCTAAGCAGGCGACATTATTTAGCAATATACATATAAACCTACACACATATTTATCTATAGCATATAGTATATATCTCTGTATGTATATATGCCTATAGCTATGCCCAAGTCAAATGCTGTTAAGCATTTGCCGACTGCTACATTCAATTTATTTTTTATTTGCCATCTATTTTGGTAGCCACATTTAGATTTGGTTATTGACGAAACGGCGCATATTTTGGAGACCAGTCGAAGGACAATTTATGCCACTGATATTTTATAACCCTGCCATGGGCCATTATCATTCTGGCTTTTTATCATCATCAACAAATATCGAATCTATTTGCCTTTAATTTTCCTCCAATTACAGAAAAAGAAAACTATATTTTAAGAGCTCCACTTTTTTATATATTTTCAATTTCAATTTCAATTTCAATTTATTTCACTCTTTGCTATAACTACATAATGGTATTTTACAATATTTTAAGAGTTTCGGCTAATACATATTGATTTGATTTTGATTACTTTTTCATACTTACAAAAGTCCGGAAATTCGAATTCCATATTCATATCCAAAAATAGTTAGTCCAATAAATGTTTATGCGTTAGTCGTCATCCTTTCCAGATCTTATCAGACTCTACCGCAACATTCCGATTGTAGTTTCTGCTGTAAGAGTAGAAGTAAAGCAGAGTTCATATATACAATGTTTAATGGAATCTTTTTTAATAGTTAATTTTCACAATATTCACAATTTCTGTTTATTTCACTCGTATTGCAATTGTTTATAATTTATTTTTCAGTAAAATTGCAATATGAATATATGTATATACATACATATAAAGCGAAAGAAAATAGATACATAAATGGCAGCTCTACGACAAGTCAAAGTTTTTGTGGCGTCTTATTGTGTTTATTATAAACTAACTCTGACTTTCCATAATTCCGGGAACATTTTATTTATTATAATAAACAACAATTCCCGTTGAATATTGTGTTGAAGTATTCTCTCTTATGCGACGTTGGCAGACAGCTCGATTATAGATTTTTTTTTTTGGATTTAAGAAACATGTTTTGTTTTTTGCTTCATGATATCGACATGACGTCGCAGTTATTATATATAATACATATAGTATATATATTTATATGTACTTGACATGATATCTCATTTGTACTGTGGACCAGGCGAAACGCAAAAAATAAAAAAAATGCAAAAATTACAGATAAACAATTTGCATTGCCAGCGCACGAGCTATAAACTTATGTCTACTAAGTGTTTTGTTGTTGTTGCTATATATATGTATGCATGTATGTGTGTATAAGTATAACTGAGTGTTAGGTTTGTGTTTTACCCAGAATTTGACATTAAACTTTAATGGGCATTAAGCTATAAGAATTGAGCCCGTGCCGAACAGTTCTTTTAAACATTCCAGCTTATAACTGTAAAAATATACAGCCACACTCATACACACACACTAACACAAAACTCAATGGAAACGTATTGAATAATTGGGATCTTTTTGGTTGCATCCTAATGAAATTTGCAGCTCATCTATGTCATGGCGGATCATAGCTTAAGATAAATAAAAACAAAATTTTATACATTACTTATACTTTTGTATACTGCATATACTATTTATAATACATATATATAGTATATAACAAATCATTCTAACAAATTTCTTGAGTGGTTTAAACGAGCTAGCTACGCATAAATTTTAAATGAATCGCTCTTATAGGCTTAATGGGCAGATCTTTGGTTCTTAATTATGTTTAAAAATATAGCTACGTCACGCCTTAATAAAATGCCAACTTTCCTATCTTATCAATAACTTGTTTTGTAGATCACTCTTTTATATGCGGAACGAATGGGAATTCATTCAGTTTTCATTTTAATAGGTTAACATTTACTCATTTCTTCTTATTTGCAGTCTATGTTTTAAACACTTCCTTATGTATTTTTATTAATATTCTATTTTTAGTGAGTTTCCCAAATATATTTAAAAGAAATCTTCGATTTTTGGCGCAGCTAAGTATGCAACGAAATTTCGTAAAATCATTTTGAGCTGAACGTAATTTTGTTAATGCGAAATCTATGTAGCACACAGACTAGAATATATCTTTTTCAGTTGTTGAATTTTGTTGTTGTTGCTTTTGCTTTTTAATTGCGTTTTAAGCGACGAAGTTTTTTTTTTTTTTTAATTGTTGTCTGTCTGTCTGTCTATCTGTGCGCTTGTTTTTGTATGTCTGTTTCTTCATTTTTTATGGCGGCTCTGATTGTTGTGCGCATTATATCTGATTTATTTATATTTCATATATATGTATATATGAGTATGTATGCATATACATATATATACAGTTATATATATATATAAATATGGTGCATTGAGATGAAATGCGGAACTACTCATATCGGCCAGAGAGCGTGACTTAATTGTTTTCATTCACTTTCTAAGACTTTGCTTTTAAGTTCATTCATAAGAAACTCTTAAGAAAAGCAAATATTAGAATACTATATAATTTGTTAAAAAAATATTGGTATTTATTATTAAAATTTTTTATTATAATTATTATTATTATAAATTATTAAACGAGTTGAAAAAAATAATTAAATAATATTTATGTTGTATAAAAATTTAAATTTATATTTTACTATAATATAAAAATATATATGTGTTTTAAAAAAATGCTATTTAAATATTTTTATATAAACTATAAACTTTCTTCAGTAGTAGTAAAAAGAGATACTCTCTAAAATATAGATTAAAGACATTCTTCTGAGTACGTCTCAGCTATCGTCACATTTGTTGCTGTTGTTGTAGTTGTTGTCGCATTCATTGACGTCGCATTGTCGCAATGATTTTGATTAAATTAACGCTTCGACTACAGCTTCAGCTTCAGCTTGAGCTTGAGCTATGGATATGGATATGAATGTGGATTTATATACATATATACATATGTATATACTATGTGTGTATATACATACATACATATATGCAAAGTTCCCAAGCAGAACAGCAAACAAAATGCTTTTCATACGAAAATAACTCAAGTGAGTTGATTTGATTTAGTTTAACACAACAACAACTACAAACAGCAACAAAACTTGATTTGGAATTGGTAAAAAAAAAATACTTAAATGAAATAGAAAACAAATCGAAATGGAAAAAAAAAGTATAACATGTTGAATAATGACAAGAGTTATTTTATTCAAGAAGCAGCTGCGAGTTCTTTAAATAACTAAACTATGAAAGAGCTGAAAGACTAGCTGATTTTTGAATACTCTATTCTTTTTTGTATATATTTATTTTAATTTTTTTTTAAAATTGTTTTTAATTTGATTATTCATTTGAATTTTTTACATTTTAATTGTATGTATTTTATTTCAATTTGTAGATGATTTTCTTTTCAATAAATATATTTTTATTTTATTTTGATTTTAAAATTAAATTGTTTTGCATTAATTTTTAGCTGATAAAAATTTTTTCAAATCTTGTGTTTAAGTTTTGTCATTTGATTATTAAACATATTTAAGTCTTTAGCTTTACTTCATAGAAGACTTATCTAAACTGTATAAGAAATACCATATAACATTTATACGCCAGCTAATCAACTCTTTTTGTATATTTACGAACGGACAGATGAAAAAGTGCTATAAAAACCTGTCGCTGCTGCTGTTGCTTCTGCTGTTGCTTTAGCTGTTGTTGTTATATTGATTTAGCCGGAAGTTAAACTGAGTGGCAGTTTGTTTGTTTTTGCTATAATTCTTCTTTTTCTTCGTCTTCTTCTTACTGGTGCTGTTTGCAGGGCGCTCATCCTTGAGCCACAGTTAATAAACAGCAGCAAAATCTGTAAAAGTTTCCGCGGCTTTACGATTTTTGTATGTGTCAAATCTTTAAGCATTTCAATAAAACTTTTGCATTGAGCTCCATGATTTGGCCACAAAATTGGTTAGCCATAAATCTAAACCTAACCTACCTATGTATATAAACACTCAATGAGAGAGAGAGCTTTGCATGCTAATTGTTGCGAGTGGCATGTGATTTCCAAAATGTTTCAATTACATGCGGATTAGCTGAGTAAGATAAGAGCTCGATGCTCAACCAGCCAGAACTGAGCAGCAACGCATGATTTCAATTTGTACGTATGCAAATAGTCGACTCTGGACTCAAGCGTCAAAAAGTTTATATATCTATCTACAGGGATTTATTGGCATGTGTCTCAAAGACCAAACAATCAAATTAGCAGCTCGACTCTAAAGAATTACGCAAATATGTTTGCATTAGCCTCCAAAAAAAAAAAAAAATGTATATATGTATAATACAGACCAATCTAACTGGCTGCGATTTCAGGGCCTTTTCAATATTCATAGTATTAACATGCATATATATATCTGTATATAATATCATAACTATATCTATTATGATTCATGTGTAATATATATAAATATATATGTCGATTAGTCTGTGCCGCTGACTCGCAATTAACACTGCTTTGTTAAGTTCGATGAAAGCATGCCACACATATTGGAAAGTTTGTAAATTTTTGAGTTGTTTCAGCTGTAAAGCCTGGCTTTAAAGTTATCGATAATTTTGTGGATAAAATAAATTACGTTAATGACATAAAAACTTGTTTGTTTTTAATGCCTCTGTTCAAGTTGTGCTTCGATCTATTTCTATCAACGCATAAAATCTTTCTTGGCCTTAATGAGCACGCTCTTTTTAGCTTTCGCGTTATCGATAAGTCTTGCATTTGATTGATTGTTTTTTATCTAAAAAAAAAACTTCTTAAAATTTGCCTCTCTTTCTAGCTAGGATTCATTCCAGGAATACTGCTACTTTCAAGCCCCTTAAGACATTTATCGATAACTTTCTGTATAGATTTATAACCTATAAAGAATATTTAGGTGTCTCCCTAATACACATTTATGTACCAAAATTGGTGTCAACTATTATTTGACACTTATAGAATAATGAAGGGTTATTGAACTCTTAGATTTATGGCGTTGCTATACTTTTTTCCTCCTTAATATTGCTATTTCAAAAAGTGAAATTTTACTAATAGGAAAAATATAATAGAAAAAATTTTTTTAAAAATCTTTAAAAATGCGTTTTAAATTAACAGCTTCCCACTAAGCTAGGCACGTTTAAGCGTCGCCGTATTGCTAGCTTTCAAGCTACTATTGCTCACAGCGTTTTTATTGCCTGCTAAACATTTAACAACTCGAGAGATTTGTTTTTATAGCCAAAATTAAGCTCTTGATATTAGCCACAAATCACAACGAAATCATTTGATACCACGAAAACAATTAACCGTTGCTTTGCCCACTAAGTCGCTTGAGCGTTGCCAGACTTTTGTGCCAATTACTGGAAGCTAGGGGAAACATGGATCAAACTCTGATATAATTAGCATAATAAAATTATAAATAATTGAATATGTTTTTATATATAGATGTTATTCTGCACAAAATCCGGTATTATGCCACTTGGCAATTATTTCAAGTTTTTGTGTGTGTGTATTTTTTTTTTTTTAAGAAATCCCAAGAATAGAAACAGAAGCGGATATATACAAAAGTCGTATGGTTTTTACCCGCTGATAAATAATATAAAATATATATTTTAATTTGAATAACCAAGCAATAAAGAAATATTCAACAATAATTTAAATAAATTAATTGAAATATTTCTACAGCTCAAACTTCTTGCTCTGTGCTAGAAGAAGTCTATAGTCTTAGGCATGGCTTTTGCCCCCTTTTCATGCACATCATCTTCTTTCTCTTTCTCGCCGATCTGCGCTTTGTTTTTATTTCATTTTACAAATTATTGCCGCTGCCGCCGCTGCTGCTGCGCTGAAACCCAACCAACCGGTTGAATTTGATGTCTTTTGCTGATGATATTCCAATTGCTTTTTGTTGTTGTTTTCCTTTGGAGACGCGCTGCTGACGTCTTAGTGGCTGCTGCGGCCACTTTTGTTGTAGTTGTTGCTTTAGCTTTTTGGGCTATTTGTTGTTTTTGCTGTTGCTGCTTGTTTTTGCGCGCTTGGCACAGGTTGAAACGATGTGGAAGAAGCAGCGATAAAAACACAAAAAAAAAAAAACCGATAGCAGAAAGAGACGCAAAAACCCCAACTGGCCGAGATCTTGGCTTGTATTTGAACTTGGTTACCATCTCCGGCTGTTGTAGGTGCCCACCACTCCCTCCCCACCACTGTACAGCCCACCTGTACAGCATAAATTAGTTAAATCGTGCGGCATGTAGGCGGCCACTTTACATTGAGAGGAGTCTCTCTCGCTCGAGTTGAGGTGCCAGACACCGTTTAAGCCAGCAACAATTAAGTTTTGCATTCTTTAACAATCCTCTACTGTTGTTGTTTGCATATTATTAAATGAAAGGTAAGCGCTTGTACGTGGCTTTAGCTTGGTGTGAGTATGGCACTCACACACGCAGTCTATCTCGCTCGCACATCAACTCGCGCTTAGATTTGTGTTTTTGTGTTAGTGCTGATGCTGCGCGAGCTGTTGTTATTGTATTTGATTTTTTTTGTGGGAGTTTCATTGTTTTTGCACATTATTATTTGAGCTAAGATATACATTGGAATCTGTGTGCAAACATGTTTACTTTACACACGCACACAGACACACATACACAAGCACGCACACACACACACAAATGTGCACACGCAGCATTTGTTTTGCCCATTTGCACAGATTTTTTTTTGTGTTGTATCTTTTTTATGGTTTTTCTTAATTTGCAACAATTTTCCAGTTTTTCACTAAGTCGCTAGCTTTGACTTTGATTTCATTTGTTGTTTGTGTTGCTTTCTCTCTTGCACTTGCTTTTTATACTTGTACATATTATTGCACTTTTATTTTGCACACACACATTATTATATACATATATAGAAATATACACTTACACAAATTTCCGTTAGTTTGACGTTTGTATTTAGCTATAATTGTTTACGTTTATTTGATCGCTTTGGGTTTCACGCTTCGTATACGCGATTTAATTTTACTAACAACAACTACGGCGCTCGCCTTTTATTATTTGTGTGCCGTGATTTCTATTTGATTTGATATATGGTGCACATACACATATATCAAGTTATTTCTTTTTTTTTTTTTAATTTTTTTCGTACAACCAGAGCGCGATATCTAAATCGGTTAGAGTGTGAACAGCAACTGGGCGAGATCATGCGCTCCGTTTGCCTGCCTCTCTATAGCCGCTGCTTAATGAAGCTTAGCTTCGGCTGCGGAGTTGCCAGTGCGCTCGCCACGCTTTGCGCTCATCTGGCAACTACGTTAAGCCGAACACGCGCGCGCTCTCTCACACACACACACACACACGATGGCCCACGAACGATAAGAAGCAACAAGTAATGTAAATTAAATTATAACTAGCCGAGCCAACAACAATGGGCCTTAAGCTAAGCCCGGCACATTTACTTACTGTACAGCCGAGGAGTAGCGACGCGACGCCAGCGTCGGCGCTCTCACGCTGACACAAATCTGTGCTGGAGAATATTCTCACTGAATGTTTTTGTTTTTGTTGTCATTTGCGCCTTCAACTAGTGTTGTAATGCGTTGCAGTTAACCCATCAACGCATAATTTCAACTTTAAATCACTTAATGGAGCTCTATGTTTACATGAAGAACCCATATATATGTACATACAAATATATGTATGCATATAAGTACAGATGTACGCACACACACCAGCACATTTTGGGTAGCAGCTTTCTCTGATTGAATTAATACGTTGATTTATGTAAATTACACTAATTCATATTACTCAATTTGCTATTTAATATTCATTGCTCGACTGCGCGACGTTCGTGCTCTCGTTCTTCTTTCATGTGAGAATAGTTTTTATTTACTTTCAGAAAGAGAAAAAAGAAGGTAATTTATCTTGAATTCGATAGAAGAGCGTTGAAATTAACGAGCAGCTCGAATGCATTTGAGAGTAGAGTAATAAGTATAAACATTTTAAAACATTTAAGAGCTTCATTGTTTAGATAAACTAGAAGTTCGACATAATCTAAATTTACAGTGTGAACTAAATATATGACTATTATAAATATTTAAAAATATTTGCCAGTTTTTGAGCTAACAATTTGAAGCGATTCAAGTACATTTATTGTTTATAACAATTTTTAGGCTACATGGTAAAGCTTGCCAAGTTTTTCCAAAAGACCTGGATTGTTTTTGGGGAACTTTGAAATTGCATCCAAGATACAAGTAGCCACTGCAATTAATAGAAGTATAGATTAATGTAAAATATTATAGATATACATATATAGAGTGGGGCTACTCACTATTCTTGTCCTCTGGCGACATAAATATGGATAAAATGCTGAACTCATCATTTTTACTTATTTCTAGCATTACTGCTGCTGTAGTTGGCTCCTTGTTGGGCACATAGAAGTCGTTCAATGTGCGCAACAAATCCGTAAATGTATCCGAGTCAAAGCCAGCGCCAAGTATTTTACATAAATTGGGTATTTCAATCGATTTCAAATATTGATATTTCTGATTTGGTGACAATTCCTTCCAAGTCATATAAAACTGGGCTGTGCCGGACGGAGCAGGTGGTATGCGCTGCAGGAAAGGCATTAGAATCAGAATTGAGAAATAATGCTATACTTTTAGGCTTACCTCCATTGCTGTAACTTTTTTGTCCTCTGGAACGATCTTAGTTATGTTGCTTGTGCTAGGCTTTTCAATTTCACTTGGTTTGGCTACAGTTGTGATATCATTCTCTTTCATTATTGGCTGTGACGGAGTTTTATTGAGGTTATCCGGTTTCTCTACAATTTTGATACTTTGATTTGATTCAGTTGCTGGCTGTACCAAATCGGGAAGAACAGTTTCAATGCCTTTTTTTGTAGATTGTGAACTATCTTCCTTGACAGTTGACTGATTGGCTGTTTGCTTAGTTTCCTGAATCTTAACATTTAATTTTTCATTGACTTCCAAACTGCTATCTACTGCTACCTTCCTCTTGTCTGGCTTTTTCACCTCTTCGAAGGGTCCGCAATTGCTATTGAATATCTTATCAATTTCTTCATCCGAGATGCGTAATTGCTTTTGCTCTTCCTGACCAGGACGGGGTGTTACAATATCTACAACAGGGACACGGCGCATGGATTGTTTGGACCGCCTGGATGCAGGCTTCTCAAATGGCAAAATATCCACAAAATCTTCACGATCTGGACTAAAGTTGGGACCATTTTTGGTAGCTAGGGAATGCGACATAATTAGCTAACAATATATATTATATATATTATATTTAAGTACCTATTTTTCGCAAACGATCATTGATGCGTTCCAAGCTGCGTTTGGCTTCATAATTCTTCGGGTCTATGGCCAGCACAGTGGTGCAATCTTTAAGGGCTTCCATGTTGTTGCCCAGTGATTCGTTTGCTTGCATGCGTCTATAGTAAGCCTTCACGCACAACTTGTCCAGCTCAATGGCTGCATCGCAATCGTCAATGCAGTTATCATAACTAAAAGAAGTAAAATTGATTTGTTTTTCTATGCGATATATACTATATTCACTATTCACTACCTTTCTTGCTTCAAGTAGCACAAAGCTCTATTGATAAAGAAAATGGGATCCTGAGGATAAACTTCAATAGCTTCGGTATACGCTTCAATGGCCTTCTCATATTCGCTCAATTTCACATAACTATTGCCGCGATCCTTGATGTCATTTGCCTTCTTATGCTGCTGGGCCAGTGTATCTATAGGAAAATCCTTTTTCTCAGTTGGGGTGCTCGCTGCGGAGTCAACTGAGCTACCTTTGGCAGTGCTTGTCGCTGGCTTCTTGACTGTCTCATCCGATTTCTGTACGTGGCTGCGCACGGGTATATTCTAAAAAAAAAGTTGAACTGATATTTTATGTACATACGATCAAAATTTTGATTACTCACGTTTGTCTTAATTTTTGGAGCGGGCGCATTTTGCATTGCCAGCTCCTTGCTTTTTATTTCCTTCTCCCATGAGTACAGATCTTTTACCGAGTTCTGATACTCACGTGCGTTTTGACGCACCTGGAATTGCAAGTCCATTGCTTTCTTTTCGCTACTCATTTTATTTTATTAATTAATAATTGTTATTATTCTTGAAGAGCGCAATGTTTTTTGGTTGTCATGACAGCGATTTCTTATGACAATGCCGACTGCAGCAATCTGCCATCGATAAGTATGCGATAGTATTGCAAAGAATATTATCGATACTCACACACACACAGCTCGCTTTTCAACACTTGAAATTTTATTTATGTTTTTTCGTTGGAGCAGACTAAATTGAGCAAAATTATTAAGTTATTTACATAAACAGCTGCGTGTAATTTCGGACAAGGGAGCTCAGTAATTATGCTCCGCCTACCGACTTTAAAAGTGTTCACAGAGACGGCCACTAGACACAAGTAGGTATCACTAGCTGCTTTTCGCTTTTTTGTTGTTGTTATATAAAATAACGTATAAACTTTTATTTTATTAGTAGTTTCAACAACAATGCAAGATATCAGTCGAAAAAACCGGAGACCTACTACGATGTGTTAAATGTTAATCAAGATTGCAGCAAGCGGGACATACGCAATGCCTATTTGAAACTGTCCAAGCAGGTGCAACAAGTGTGCTTCATTATCAATTTATTTAATTAATTATTTGCGTATTAATTTATAGTATCATCCCGATGTGAAGAGTAATGCAGCGAGTGTAGAGAAAACAGCACGATTTGTGAAAATCACAGAGGCTTATCAGACATTGGTGAAGGCGTCATCTCGTAGAGATTATGACGAAAGTTTATCTTGGAATCCAGGCGCGGTGCGCGAAACAATTCAACCCTGGGATGTTAGGCCCAATTATAGCGCAAACCCTGGTCCATATTATGGCATTAAGGGTTTAAATCGTGTCTCCAACTGGCAGGTAGCCTTATTTCTCCTCTCGCTCGGCTTAATAGGTGCAATCTTTGGTTTCAGCTCAGTGAGGTGAGTACGCTAGACTCAGATGCGTCTCGGTAGATATTCTAACTGGATCTTTACAGACACTCATTCGAGCTAAGCCGTCAGTATCAGGACGAAGTCTCAGCGGAGGCGAATTCTCACCATGCGGCCGTAGTAGCCGATGCGCAAAAATATGGCAATGAGGAGCAAATGCGTCGAATGGTGGAGCGTCTGGCCAGAGATCCGATTGCCAGGGCTGCAGCCAAATAAAATAATGTTCTTAAATATGTAAATAGACCAAATTCGTTGTAAATAGATTTGCAAACAACAATATCTTTTGCTCTTGTGATAAGCTGATTAAATCATGTAGTTATTGCGAAATTCAGGAGGCGCCGCAGAATGGATTTCTCGAATATAATTTTATAATACTTATTTTGTGATAAATTAATATGCAATTAAAGGTTAAACCATTACAAAAGTCAACAGATTTAGATATATATGTATTTATTTAGCTAATTTACTACACAAAACGAGTTAAAATATTTATTATTCTTTTTAGTTTCCTATGCAAATAATTATAATTAACGATTGCAATAAATTGATTTAAATATGTGCTGTAAAAAGCATAGATAGTGGGATCTACCGCCAATTATATTTTTGTTTTTATTTTCACATACTTTTTTTTTATTTAAAAAAATCTGATTTGGTTTTTTGAACTTTTTAGCGTTTGCAAAAGTTTTACATTTTCAATTGACTGAAATGAAGTTAAGAATTTCTGCTAATTACAGTTTGTTTATTGAATTTATTTATCTTTTTTTTTTGCAATACATAAAACAAGTTTTTCTTTTCATTTATTTATTTTCTCATTTAGCAATGTTTGAGCAAATAACGGAACACTTAAAATTAACATCGCGAACGGGCGATTTAAAATTGCATTTAAATTTATATATATATTTATTTTTCTAAAAATTGTACTTAGCATATTTCTCTACTAGGTTACAGAATATTTAATGAAATGAATTCACGATTCTTGAAAGCCCACCACCGAAAACACAAACTAAATAAAAATCACATATTTTTGATTAAAAATGCAAAATTGCTCTCGCAACTAGTAGAAGCCAATTACAAGGTCGACTTGCTCTTGTCCACCTCCTTGACCAGTACTCGGATAGCCACATGTGGCTGGGCTGGCTTAAAGACTGTTTCACCATCTACTTTGTAGTCGGCATAGTTCAGTTTGTAGACCTCATGGAAGCCGAGTTTCTCCATGACACGGGCCGAGTATTGACTGGAGCAAATCACGTGATAAACGGATATCTTATTGGAGCGCATATACTCATAGGCGCGTTCGGTGAGGCGGCCCGCAATGCCCAGACCCCGGTAGTTGCTGTCCACAGAGAGAATTTTGCCATCCAGGATGACATCCTCATTCGGATACAGATCAAAGATCTTAAAAGTCTCCTCTACATGATCCATTAGATTGAGTATCTTTTGGAATTTCGGATGTGAACAGGTTGACTTCTTAACGGTATCTGTGGGGGACTGAAGGGGAAATCTATTATTGTTATTCTATATAGATATATTTCTCATGGGAACTCACAGGCCTTTTGATTAGACCATTGATATAGACACCGATAATTTCGCCCTTATTGTTGACTGCCTTATATGAGCAATTATCCTTGATAGGTTTCATTGAGTACTCTTCTAGTTCTTTGCACTCGCCAAGATCTAGATATGTATTGAGTGGCTCGTCCTGCAAATGAAAGAGAAAACAAACATAAAATTATACATATGTTTCATCAAGCTCATTCAAATCAGCTTCTTATCAGTCTCTTTACTCACATAGCCTATCATATCATATCATATCATATCAAGATCTATTAATTTAATTGTATGCACAAATCTTAAATTGAACAATCTGTACAAATTATTCAAGCAATTACGTGACATCAGCGACATTAGAATTATACGAAAATGATTTATGTGCACGCATTTGTAATCTATTATCTGCATTTATTATATACCCTGGAAATGTTTTACAAATGGTCTAATGTTTTTCTGAAATCATGTGGCACAGGTTGAAATTTTAAATATATTAAGCTGCCCAGAAAGCAGCAGAACATTAGCTTGTAAATATTTCATCAAAAAAATCTTAAGGTATGGAAATATTATTAAAATCATAATGTAAGAATCAAGTATCTATGTATCTATTCTTATATGTACACACAAATTCTAATATATTTTATTTAACGCCAAATTTCAGGGTAATTCTTAGTCAAGCTACACCGACGCCATCGCATTTACACGTTTTAATCAAAGATTATGCATAATTTATGGCAAATGCAAAACGGAACCGGAGCTACAGCTCAGTCAGTTAGTCAGGTTTGCTTACATTTATATATATATGTATATATATATATTATATATGCATATACATATATATCACGCTTTTAAATTAAATGCAATTCAATACAGATTTTTGGCCTCACCAACTGGATTTGAAGTTTGCCATACGATAAGATCGATACAGATTATATTATACAATATATGTATATATAATATATGATAGCCTGCAGTGAAGTGTTAGCTTGGTAGCCAATTAACGATCCCCAATCGTGATCTACAAAGGCAACTGACGGTTTCTCCAACTGGTTTTTGGCAGATCTGTTTAGTCTTCAGCTAAACCTAGGCGATGGGGTTTTTTTTTTCATTCATTCGTTAGTCATCGCAAGGATAAAAAGGTTACTCACTTCTGGGTGAAACAAAAAACCCCCATTTAGGAGCACATAAAAATGCTGATTTAATGCATAAAATCGAGTTTCGGTGCAGTTAATGAAGCAAATCTTGTTAACTAAGGCTCATTAATTATTCCTATGCTTTATTTATACGATTTCTGCTATGTTTTGAGTCTCGTTTCGAGCGGAGAGTGGCAAATTAAATAAACAAATAATTTATCAATTTGTAGGAGTCATTAGAAAGAATAGCAAAAATTTGCAAATTTATTTGAATAAGAAATGAGTTTAAAAATACGAAATGTTTTTGTTTATTTAGAAGTAAAAAAATGAGATAAGCTTAGATTAAGTGAAGAAAAAAAATTGTATAAATTTATACAAAGCAAAAAATTTCAAAGTGTATTATAAGTATATATAGTATTTAAATATATTACCTTAAAGAAAAAAGTCTTTAACATGGCAAGGACTGCCTCTGTGTCTTCTGGCTGGACCAGCTCTATAGTATAGGGGCATTCCTTATCAATTTTTGACGACGACGACGACATATTAAGCACGTCCAATTTCTGTGTCAAACGGGTGATCGGATATAAATCGTTCAGCTGTGAAATAGACGAAACAAGCTGTTAAAATTTATGCAATTACAAATATGCAAACGTTGCATTGCCCTTTCCATTATTTCTAGGTAAAAAATTGTTGAAAGCTATGTTGTTCAGGTTGGGATACACTCTGATTAATTTATTAATTAATCGGATTTTCATTCAAGCACCTTGTGGTAAACGACAGATAATTGACTCGCGATATTCGGTTGCCTAATTGCATCATGGGTCCGCCGGGAAAGGTTAGATCTTCTAGGACGCGGCATTTTTATTAATAGTAGTACTGAATATGCCCTCGCACAAAACCACATTTACACAAATTTATGTTTGAGATAAACTTTCGAGATATTTAGCTTCTGTACGCACGCGTATTATTTTTATCAAATGTGTTTTTTTTATGTATAGTCAGGTTCGCCTGAGGCTGTGGCGTAGACTGACTGACTACATTTGATTATTTACTGCTATACTATTGTATAATATGAGAGCAGGACCGAAAACTGTCACTGTTATCAAGCCTACTGAGTATCAATGGAAATTTGAATCTTTAGGGAAAAACCGCGTTTTTCAAGTATTCGTCAAATTTTTTCAGTATTTTTAAGATCTACTATCCTACTCGTAGCGGAGACAAATCCAACAAATCAAAAACCATGAAAATTGGTCCAGCAGATCTCGAGTTATAAGTGGAAGAGCACTTTTACACAACTCTCTTATATATATATATAGATAATATATACATTCACACATATATATACATGTTTGGATTTATTACGGTTATTTATTGCTCTTAGATGAAAGCTAGACATTTTAATTTGAAGCACATGTTCGCGAGCCGACAGCAACTACGCGCTGACGATGGCGACGACAACAATTTTCACTTGCATTTCCAATTTTCCATTTTCAATTTTCAGTTTTCAGTTTTTTCCATTGCCATAGCCTACAGCTGTATTTTCATTTGCTTTTCATGTACACTTCTGACAACTCGCATAAATTATGGTTTAATAATTAATTCTTCTACTTGAAGGCAACGGCTGAACAAATATTTTCCATTTTCTTTTCTTCTTCAATTATAATAGAAACTTTTAGATTTTTCTATATATGCGAATAGTTTTTAGGATAAGATCAGAAAACTTATATAAGTTATACATAGATATTGTGTAGGAATTTTAATTAAACTATTTTCCTCAAGAATTCAAAGTAGTACCATAGTTTCTGAGATTCCGGAAAATAGATTTTCCGATTTGCCATGCCCCTATTATAATTATAGCTTCGATAGTGTAGAAATGGTTTGCACTCATAAGGTCAGACGGACGCATGAACGGACGGACGAACAGCAAGATGGACATTACAAAAAACCTATATAGTTATTTAAAGCGTTTTTAGTGTTCTAAATAAATTAATATTAAATTTTTTTTAAACTTAAGTTTTCAATAGTATACATAACGCTTTATTATAGTGTTTTTCTTATAATGTAGTCAGAAGTTTTATTATTTGTTTTGAATAGCATTAAAGTTCTGTTGAATGTTTTAGTATATCTTTTTATTTATTTAACAATCAAAATACGTATACTACACATTCTACTTCTAAAAATGTAGCACCTATAATATATCGTCTTTAAATTCCAAAATTTGTATTTCAAATATTTCCTCCTTTCGCTTGTTTGTTTGCCATATTTCGCATTGGATTTAATTGCATTTTAAGCATCCATTTGAAGAGCTATCAAAGCACAGGCCCCTTTATAAATTGATGTAGCTAGACATATATTTCGGCAACTGTTTACACTTGGGCTAATTAATCTATATCTTGGATCGATCTATTCGATCTATTAATGGCACGCAGTCTTCCTCCTTCTCTATAGTATTTATAGAGCCACTCAATCCTACGGATTCGGAGGTGCATACCCCACGCAAATGGCAAATGTTTACGAAAGTGTTTATAAAAACGGTTGATCAACCACGACTAGACTATATAGACACTATATAGCTATGATATACACTTACCGCACATCTGGAGTCAAGGATGCGGCATTTGCTTTGCAGCGATGGCTGCTCGCGCATTTTTTCTACCTCCATTTCTTTATTATTATTTTATTTATTTTTTTTTTTTATTGACTTTTGTCTGAGGCGTGAGAAAATGTTATTAAAAAACGTATAGGAAAATCGCTATCATATATACATACATATATTTACTATATATAATATATGTATTTTATTTTTTTTAACAATATTGTTTTTGCTTTTTGGCGCGCGCGTTTCTAAGGTATTTTCTGTTGTTTGGCATATGTTTATTTGCCAGCGTATTTATATTTATTGTTGTGGCTTTTGTTTTGTTTTTATTTTTTATTATTATTTATTTTTCTTTCGATTTTGCGCACATACACTTTTGCACCTTTTGACAGTTGCAAATAATGGTAATTTATTATACAGTCAGACACACATGATTGCAAAGGGCAAAAACACCAAATGCGATTTGATTTGAAGAAAAATGTTTATAAAAATGTTTATCCTTTCGGCTGGTTTTTTGATCGAATTGCTTAAGTTGCTTCAGAGAGCTTCAGCTCTTCCCTAGTGCAAACAATGAATGCTTTAGCATCGCTGCTGTTTGCACTTTATATACATATGGGGTTGGGTTTACGTATACGCCGTGTGTGCTGAACCTGAACCCGAACCGGACAAGGCAGCAGCCAGAACGAGAGCGCGCATGAGAGCGTATGAGAGAGCACATAAGAGCAGCTGAGACTGAAGGCGCAGCGTAGGACAGCGAAATTTCAATCTCTTTTTGGCAGGCGCGCTAGCGTTGACGACTGAACTCAGTTCCGTTGTTTGCCTGCTGCCGATCGCGACTGTGCACGAATCACGAATCATAAGTAACGAGCAGCTAACGTCGCAGCAGTAGACACACGATGCGACGCCAGCAGCGACGCTGACGTTGCTTTTAAATGTGTGTGCAGATGATGGTGGTAGGCAGAGGCAACATTTGCATTGGCTTCGGCTCCACACGAGCCGATTAGACAAACAACAGTATGTGTGAGTGAAGAAAACGTCGCACTCCTTCCCTCTCTCTCTCTATCTCTTTATTTGCACTCCCAGCAGCTGATCTCAACAGAGAAGGGAATTGCGCTTTGACATCGTGACAAGTTGTCACAAGCTGTCGGTCGCTCGCTCACTCACAGCTGCTGCTGCTTTCCGGCTGCTTTGCCTGTTTTGGAGTTGGGCTGAATGGGAGAGGTCAAATTGGAGCAGTGTGTTTCCGGTGTGTGAAATCGCTTTTCGCAAATTAGTGGTTTGAAGTTTTGACGGTGTACTTAACTAATTAAAAAGTGTCACATAATTTCATTAACTTTAATTATTAGTCAGGCAAGTGTTTTTTTTTTTTTGATTTGTCTGTTGACAACATTTTAATTATGGTACATTAGATTATTCATCGTCAGCAGATGTTCAGCAATTAAATTTAAAGAGCGAAAGCGTTGAATAATTAACATTTCTATAGGCATATGTAATGTCAATACAAAAAGTAGCCCCTCCACCTCTCTGCGGTCATACACGCTCTCATTGCATATTTATTTTTAAATCAACCGCAATGCTAACAGTTTAACAGTTACTTGCAGAGCTTCAGTAGTGGCTAATAAAAGAGTACATGCATGCACAAAGAATACAAGAAAGTGAGAAAGTTCAATGCTTTCGCTCCTTATTTACACTCTCTTCAAATTATCAAAGTCTCTTGAAATATAACGCGTATTGCGATTATTAACAGTTAAGTGCAAAGCAACAATGCAATGCACTCATGTAAAGAGCTTTTTTGGTTCCCCTGCCCACTCTGCGCTCTCTTTGACTTTGAGCAGCTCTTCACTTGCAAACACCGCAAATATTTGCCGCCTGTCAATGAGTGAAGAGTTATCTAGATCGACTGACTGTTAAGCAAATACTCTCGCAGACATACCAATACACGCACAGCACGCCGAGTGTGAGGCTTCTCAATGCGACACACACATACATGATTGTCGAACTATGAAGGTGGAGGCGGAGGTCGCGTTGCGTTGCGTTGGGTGTGTTTGCATTGACGACGCCGGCAAAAAAGAAAAAAAGGCAGAAAGAAAAACAAAACTGCGAATTGGCTTTTTTTGCTGTTTTGTTTTTGTTTCTCTTCTTTTTTTTTTTTTTGATTATTTTGTTTACTTTTTTGTTTTGTTTTTGCTAGCGTTGTTTGCGTTCTCGAGCTTTGTTTACATTGACGGGCGCGCGCTCTCGCATCATCAATAGAGGTCTCCAAAAATTTATGAATATCGCGAATTAAATTATTTTGCTTCTATATTTTGTTAGTTTTATGATTTTTCACAAATCAACTTGTTTATTATGGAAAATTGTCGTTGATGAGTATGAGGGGATTTTTTAAATAAAAATTTTTTAATAGCTTTTTTTGTTATTATTATTATTGTTGTTTAAATTTTGTTTACCTTTTGCGGCATATACATATTTCTACTTAAAATCTATAGGCTGTTTATGCTTAGTCACACTGGAAAATAACAGTTGATTAATTTGCGGTTAACTGTAAACCTGTTTTTGATATATACATAGTATAAGTTTATATAATATATACATATATATATGTATATGTGTATGTATATATTTGGCTACCCTTGATAGAGGGCTGTGAACTTTTTGGAAGTTCTTAAGGAGCTTAATGTATAATCTCCATGAGCCAAGCCTTCTTTTTGCTGCACAACAGCTGTTGTTGATTTTTCAATTATTGTCTTTTAGTTTTATTTTTTTTATTTTTGGTGGATTCATGCGCTTTGTTGTGGTCAATTGCAGGTGTTAAATGCGTATTTATAAATTCATCACAGGGTTTATTAATTAAGGTAATGTGATTACAGCACTTTTTACTAATTTGGCACGTCATGCATGTGACTAAAAATTATTCATATTTTTTGTCATATTTAATTTTAATTTTTTTGATTGGCTAACAGTGCGTATGCTCGTTGCGTATGCGTACAAAATAAAATTTCCAAGTTATTATTTTTTTTTGCCTGTGTAATACCTGTAATTATCTCTGTTGGTTGTTCTCATCAAATGTGTTTCAAGCTCACGCTAATTCATTTTAGTTTTCTATTGAAAATTCCCCTATTTTTTACACGAGTTTAGAGCGTAGATACCGAAATATTACAATATCTAATATATATATTGCATATTTAATTCTTATTTTTATTTGATTCTAGGACATAATGAATTAATGTAAGCAGAGTTGTTACAAATAATTAGAAAATTTATACAAACTTTTGAGAATCGCATATAAAGGCAGTAGCTCGTTTTTTTGACGAAGCTGATCAAATTATTGAGTGATAAAGAGATTCAAGAAAATGCTAGACACATTTATGGAAGAATATATATGTATATATATACATATTAGTAAACCTAGACTTGTTTTGCATGTCGAAGACTGAGATTATCATAAAATTTGCTTGGTTTTGCACTAACCGCTACATAGATATAAGAAGTTATATAAACAAGAATTTGCTGTTATATCTTTCACTGTTTGCGCAACTGGATTTAATTTTGATCAGCATAATGTATAAAATTATTCAGATATGATAAGCAAATTAGGTAGTTTGTTGATTTTTGGTTTTATTTGAATTGTAAAATTCTAATGAGATTAGAACAAAGCATAAAAGTTAATTTGAAATCACGCTAATTGGCTCAAGTTCAGGTAATTTCATTCTAATTACGCTATCAAACTCGCATTGCGCAGATATATGCTCAATCTGGCGTTTTTTTTTTCACTTTTTTGAGCACCTTGTGAATTTGCAATTTGAATTTGGCTTTTGAAAGTTTCGATTGTTGCATTGTTTCAAATGAATTGCATGCAAATTCCGTTTGTTATTTTCCTTGATTTTGCATATTTCATTTTCATTTCAAATTTCCGCTTGATTTGCTGTGTGCATGTATGTGTGTGTATGTGTGTGTGTGTGTGTGTATGTGTGTGTCTGTTTGCTTTAATTTTTGTCATGTCATCTGGCTAACGAGCTGTAACTCCTCCAAAACTTCAGCCTGGTGGCAATTAAATGGATTGCATATGCACTATTGGAATGGGGTATTATGATTTAGTTACGAAATTGGGATCGAATAGATGTCTATATAGGAACTAGAAAAGTTAAGACATTTCATTATTCTATCTATCTATGTATGTATTATACCAATCAACGATGGAAAACCCCGTTTCCAATGGATTCCTCTTATATTATTTCCTCTATATTTTAAATATTATAATATTGGAATATCTATGGATAGCAAAATATGAAAATAAAATAGTTTCTTGTTTTTTTTTTTTTTTTTTTTAGCATGGAATATCCATATTTATTATTCATATATCACATTAGAATAAATTGATATAAATATAAATAGAGAAATTTGTTTATATTAAAAATCTTTGGCTGTAATAGATTTCCCTCGATAGATCTCTATGTAAAATTAATGCACAGCATGAAAGTGGCGCTGTGACAATGTATACCATATTTCTTATATTCCAGGGTATTTTATCTTCGATGCACTTGACTACATCTACTTTGCTATGCATTTTTATTGGCCCGAAATATTTGGTGCCATGTGTTGAAAGATCGTTCAACGCTCAAGCTCTGTCATTATAAACAGACTAATTGACAATTTACATGTGTTCTCTGTTCACCTGTCTCTTGTTCTCTGTTCACCTGTCTCTTGTCTCTTGTCGCTGTTCGCTGTATTCACTGTACATGTCTTGCGAATCGCAATTCATAATGTTTAGTGAATTTCAATTAATTTTAAGACACGGCTAGAAACACGTCTCTATTAAAATTCATTTTCAGTATTTCATTTTTGTTTTGTTTTTGTTTTTTTCATTCTACTTTTTTTTACCCGCATGAGTGAGTTTTTAGTGCACGTTTAATGATTCTTAATGATCGTGTCGCCGTCGCTATTTTGTTTGCATATCGATAATTATAAAGACATTAACGACTCTCAAGCTGAGCATTTGCTGCGATTTATTTTTGCATTTGAATTCGAATTGCAAGCCAAATGTGATATAGATATTTGACGACCATTTAATACTCGTGTGCATGCATAAGGTGTATAGATTTATTTGCGGTAATTCATCAGTATTAATGTACAATCCATTAGTTTTAATAGTTGTTTAATTAATAAAGGAAAGTGTGATAGAGTTTTCTGAGGAAAGTCATTTACTTCAGTTTTGCTAAACTTAGAAGAATTTTTTCTGATTGTTTTTATTCTCGTTCTATAATTTTTTCTCTCTTATCATTTGCCTTCTGGTGTTGCTTCGAGTTATGTTTAGTTCTCTTATCTTGTCAGAACTTTTCTTCTCATTTCATTTTACTTCTTCTGTATGCTTTGCTTTAAGTTTTATTCTCCATATCAACTTGAAGAGAATATAAGGAATTTATTTCCTCTCATATCTGTTCTCAGTTTGTCTTTTCTAATGCTGCCATGTTACTTTCTTTTCTCTGTCTTTCTGTTGTCGTTTTCTTCTTCCATTTTTCCAGCTCATTATTTTTATACTTTATTTAATATTCTTTTTTCGTATCCTTCCTTCTGACCTATTCTATACTCATGGCCCTTCTTCTTCTCCCTTCTACTCGTTTTTACTTCTTTTATCTTTTCCTATCGTTTCCTCTTTTTCCATCTCATCTCATTTTCTCTGTAGTCCACTTTTGTTCCTTTTACATAGTCTCTGCATTTCTTCTCTTCTTTGACTTCTTTGCCTCTATTTATAGTTTTCTATTTATATCTTATATAGAATATAAGCCCAAGTCTTAGTACAGCCTCACGAAACAATAGTTCTAGTCCCACTT